AGCAAGGCTACTTGTGACGTTCGGCTCCGGCTTGTCCAGGGGTGAACTAGCAAGCCCCAGACCTGTGTGGTCTGTCAGGGTCCAGAGATAAGCTGAGCTTACATAGGGGCACACAACAGCAAAGAGTTAGACCCTAGTTTTATTCAAGTATGTAATCACTTCAAAAGGTCTGAAGTGTAGCTAACACTCTGCTCAGGGAATGAAGTGGGTCCCTGTCGTCCCCGCCCAAAGTTAAGAGGGTATGTAAGAGGTCCGCAAACTGGTTCTTGAGCCATAGGCAGCTCTGAAGTAAAATTGAAAACTTTAAAAGAATATTATTCAAATAATGGCGATTTCATTGGTTTGTAAAAATGTTTATGGCAGTCAAATGATTTTTAAATTGTGTGTGGGCCAGGATTGGCTCTTTAACTCAAAAGTTTGCGCACCTTGGTCTGGGGGATATTTCTAGTTTCTAAAGGGCACTTTCCAGAGGGAAGGGTTGTCACTCTACAGTTTTTTAATCAGTTGCTTGGTTCATCCCTGAGTCTCATACAATGTTTCTTTTGACTTTCATTGGGCTGTGGCTCTTGATCAATAGGTCTCAGAATTATCTTCAAGTACAGTCCTGTGTCAGGATAATCACTTGGACTTATCTTCAAGGTTAAGGCAGTTCTTACAGGATCCTTTGTTCACTTCCTTAGCAGGTAGGGCAGAGCCCCTGTTCTGCCCTTAACACAATCCACATCCCCCGACTATGTTCAGAAGGGGCTTCATCCATGTAAGGACCTGCAAATGGATTTGGGCCTTCCACCATCATCCATAGCCTTCTGCTAACCTGATATTCACAATGTAAGCTCTGATATCCTTCCCTCTTTGGGATTCAGATTTTATTATTTACCATCTTTGGTCACATAAGCTGTTGTTCTTTATGTGGGCTTAGTTGACCCCTCAGATGAAATTAGCAACATTTCTGTCTCTTAAGAGTTCCCTCTTTCCTTGGTTGTATAGCTGGACTAGCTGTTTTTACTCTCCTTAAGCCTTTTGGATACTCTTACCTAGTCAATGACTGCAATCTCACATCTAAATTTCTAGTCAAAACCTTTCTCTCGAACTCTAAGCATTTGCAATATATGGGCTTCTGATATATCTTTTTAGGTGGCCTGAAAACATCTGTATTCCTATTATCTAAAGCAATTTCATATCTTTCTCAGCAATAAAAGACAAAGAAGTTTCTCTGGCAGCTACGATGCCGTCTATTTTGAGAACTCACACACCAGACAGACTTCAGAGCAAAGGGACAAAATGCTGGAAGCAGCAGCTGGGAAGTTTGGGATAGGAGAGGGACAGTCGCCTTGTGAAGGCCAGGTTTAGGAAACTGCTCAGGCCTAGGTTAGTGAAATGACCGGAGATAAGAACGGTTCATCGCTAAGAAATTAATATCATCAGTTACCAATTAGATGTGAAGAATATACTTCCTGCCATCAATTCGATTCTAACTCATAGCGACCCTATAGGACAGTGTAGAGCTGCCCCAGTGGGTTTCTGAAATTGAAATTCTTTATGGGGGCAGAAAGCCTCAGCACCCCACCCCCACCCCACCCCATCCAGGGCAGCAGCTGGTAGCTTCAAGCTGCTTACCTTGCAGCTAGCAGCCCAATGGATAACGCCCATAGCCATCCTTTATGAATCACATAGATTTTATGAATCATAGATATAAGGAGAAGTTTTAACTTTTAAAGTTTTCAAAAACTTTTATTTTGAGCATGGCTTGATTAAATTTGTTTAGACATAAATGATTAATGTTTGAAGCAGTAGCCTTGTGACCATGTACAAAAATAGCCATTTAAAGTATTTGCTTTTTCCCTCACGTATACCCAAACGTGTAATGTACTAAAAGAAAACCATTGGGAAAGAGTATAGCTTGGCATGTTGAGCTGTGAAGTAATTGAATTTAGCTTGAAATGAGTACAGATATGTTAGAATTTTGATTAAAATTTTGCTCAAATTACTGTGAAATGCATCAACATAGATGTGATAATAATAACAAAACAAATCTACTGCCATCGAGTTGATTCCAACTCATAGCGACCCTCTTGTGCATTCCCAAGACTATAAATCTTTATGGAAGCAGACCGCCTCATCTTTCTTCTGCAAAGATAAGCCTAATGCTTATCTCACAGCAACGCCAGGGATCCTCTGATGATGAGAGCAGATGTGATCGATGTAGCAAAATGTTCATTGGAAAATCTAGATCAGTGATCTGAATGCCACCACCCTTTTGCACAGCTCCTCATGTTGTGGTGACTCCCCCAACCATAAAATTATTTTCGTTGCTACTTCATAACTGTCATTTTGCTACTGCTCTGAATCAGGCGACCCCTGTGAAAGGGTCATTTGACCCCCAAAGGGGTTGCGACCCATTGGTTGAGCACCGCTGACCTATATGAACACATGGGTGTTCACTGATCCCTTTAGAGTTTTCTCTATCTTTGAAGGTTTTTATAATTGTTTTGGGACTTCTGGTATAAACTGTTGGCTAAAGACTTATCGTGGGGACTTAGCCTCCCTGACCAGAGACTTTTTAAAAATGGTTTTAATGACATATAAATCACAGTTCATACATAGGTCAGTCATATTAAGAAGAGTTGTGCAATCACCACCACAATCAACTTTAACCCATTTTCTTCTTCTTTGTACTCCTTGTTGGCTCCCCATTTCTCCCCAGCCTCCCCTTCCATGCCCCTAAGAAATAAATGGTTCAGTTACTCTCTCTAGAGATTTACCTATTTTGGATTTTCTATACAGGAAAACATATAAAACAAAGAATAAAAACAAACCAACAAAATAACCCATCAACAGTGACAGAATAAGAAACCTCACTTGAAAAGCAGAAAATATTAAAAAATTAGAAAAAAAACAACAAAAAATGGGTTAAATGCGAGATTAAGTGATATAAGGTGTTACATTTTAACCTAACTACATCTGCCATAATCAACTTTATAAAGTTCTTCCTGAGATATCAAGGCTGTTCACATCCCTCAACTGTGGTCGGAGGGATTTCACGAGAGAATTAAGCCTGCAAATGGATTTTGGACTTCCACTATTACCTGTAGCCTTCTGCAAACTGGGTGTTAAGCCCCAGTGTAAGCTCTTTCGGATTTGGGTGTTATTAATTAACATCCTGGTGTGCTTCTGTGTTGCCTCACTTACATGGCTTCTTGTTTGAAGACAAGCCTTTAAGACTCCAGACACTGCTCTTTCTGATAGCCAGGCGCCATCTAGCTTCTTCACCACCCGTATCTTCAGTGATCTCCACAGGTCAAGTACTGAGTAGGGCCCTGTCATTAAGAGCTACTTGGTTTTAGATTAGGGCCAAGATTTAAGTGTGAGCTCAAAATCCATTCATATATCTATGGTTTTATCTATGTCCCTGATTAATTTTAGAGACATCTTTATCATTTTATTGAAGACTATTATAAATCATGCCCATGGGGACATAAGGTAATAGTATCATTAAAAAATTTAAGATACCTGAGAGAAAGAAATCAAACTTATATAGTACAGCTCTTTAGACCACAGTAAATTGTTGACTTGTACAGATTCAAAACTTTCACTAACTACACAAAACCACAAGGATTGAAGATAAGACAAAACTTTCTGTAACATTTGTTTACAGAGGCAGAACCATGCCCATTAGACTCACGCGGGTCATAAAACACCAAAGGGAGCATGAAATTAGTAAATACAGGTTCGTCTAGGGGCACTATTTGTTGGCCACCCACAAAGCAAGAGATCCCAACCAAACCAAACGCCATGACCGCCAATTTCATTACCTGGAGATAATCCCTGCTGCTTCTCCCACTAGCGAAGGCAATTAATGTTAAGTCCAGAAGTACCTCCGTTTCTTACATCTGCTACTGGTGATTTTAAGGTACAGTCCAAGTTGCTTAGTGGGATTTCAACTCAGGTCCTTCTGGTGTGGCCTATGACGGACACCTTTAAAGGACAGTCTGAAAGTTTCAGTTGTTTGTAGCACTCGGCCGGAGTCAACAAGGGTTGGATAGAAACGAGGTCAAAAGTGACCAATTAGGAACATAATACTGAGCTTATTCTCCCCTTGGGGCCTGTATAAGGAATGTTAAGCATTTTTCCCAATTGCAGTTTATCGCACTTGGCTTATCCTCTATCTGAAGTGTAATCGCCTTCTCTGCTGTAGACATGTCTCCTCACTTCTTGATTTGATTAAAACACTAATCACTCTTGTAGGAGTATCTGTTTATTTGTGTTCTATGGCTGGAACTGATTGGTCTTGCCTCTCCATGCAACATGAGGAACTGATCCCAGCCGGAGTGAGGCTACCTCTCTTGACGTGTTTTCTAAGATGTTCCAATAACAGGGTAGTTCATGGGAAGTAGGGAAACCTTGTCACTTGGGAGAACACATTAGAAGATTGCAAAGTAGAACAGAAGTCTACCTTTGTCTGGGTTTTTATCCTTATATTAGAGGACTCATACAATATCTGTCCTCGTGTAATTGACTAGTTTTACTCAGCATTGTGCTTTCCAGGCTCATCCGTGTCAGAGGCATTTCGTGGTTTCATCACTGATTTTTACGATACTCCGTTGTATGGATGTACCAGTTTCCTTATCCAGTCCTCAGCGAAGGGGCATTTGGGTTGTTTCCAGCGGCTTGCTAGTGAACGGGACTGAGCATACATCTGTGTGGTTCTGACTCAGCTAGTGAACCTGAGAGAGCATACATCTGTGTGGTTCTGCCTCTCACTTCTTTGGAATATATGCCCAGCGGGGATATTGCTGGATCGTATGGTATTTCTGTGCCCAGTTTTAGGACTCACCATATAGCATTCCATAATGGATATACACGTGTACAAGCACACCAGCAATCTACAAGAGTTCTAATCTTTCCACAGCCTCCCCTCTCCCTCATTTTTGTTCTCTCGTTTGTGTTTTTGAATTGGGCTATCATTGTGGGCTGACCAGAGACTTTTCTTTTCTCTGTAGACACTTTCCGCTGTACTTTTTGTCAGACAGAGGTAGAAGAGGATGAATCAGCAATGCCCAAAAAGGATGCACGCACACTTTTGGCAAGGTTTAATGAACAAATTGAGCCTATTTATGCACTGCTTCGGGAAACAGAGGATGTGAACTTGGCTTATGAAATACTTGAACCAGAGCCCACAGAAATCCCAGCCTTGAAGCAAAGGTGAGTCTATGCCCTGTGGCTTTATTAAGAACACTTTTAATTTCATGTTAGTTTTAATTACTTGTACTTTGGAGAGCAGGTGCCGGTGAGTGCGCATTTTACCAGGAAACTGAAGCTTATAGTTCAGGAGATTCTAAGCTCTGTCATGCTTGTCTTATTAACTGAGGCCTGTGATGAAGTTCGTTTTATTGAATGCAGGACAGTATGCGCCTTAGGCAACGTCTTTAAATAGTCAAGTTTGACTTCAAGTACTCCCTGTGCTTGAACCTGCTGCAACTCAGCCGATTGTTAGCTAATCCTAAATTGGTTGTGCCTCTTGAGAGTACTTGAAATTTCCTAGCCACCTTTAGAAGGTTGAAGTTCTGTACAGAGTACAACTTTCTGCACTCTTGTTTTTTTTTTTATTTTAAGTATTAATTTTTGTCTGTCTTAGTTTCAAATGCAACTTCCTTAAAATTGAAGTATATTAAAAGAAAAAAGTAGGCAAATTGTTACCTTTGGGTTAATACAGCAGTGCCCCCTGTTTTAATCAGTATAGCTGAATTTTTAATTGCAGAGGCAGCCTTAGTTTTGCTAGGCTGTAAGAAGTGGTTCATAGTCTTTTTTTGAAAACATAAATGAAAATTGGAGTCAGGGCGTGCTTTCCACCTGTGCAACCTTTTTTTCCCCCTCGACCGTGGGTTGAGCTGAGGGCGTCGAGTTTATGGCCACCTATGCACTTCTGTATAATGAGTAGGTTGTACCTGTACAGTTAGGTTTTTCCTTTATTGTTTATAGGAGTACTTTGAGTTCCTTCTGGTGTTGATAGGGCATCATCAATTGGGGCAGTCCCGATCACATTAAGTTCCTTTTGGGTAGTCAAACACAGTCCAGCTGTACAGCAGATTTTATATCTGTACACGTTGTGAACTTTCCAGCCTGGCACCATTTATTGGGTTGCTTTTTGTCGTGCATAACAAAAATCAACTAGAAGCGATTGAACAATAAGAAAAACTTACCTTGCGTGAACAAAATCCTGAAGTAATGCAGTTCAGGATTGGTTAATTTCACAGTTCAATTACATTCTCAAGGTTGTAGGTTTGTGACATTTTTATTCTCTGCTGAATGTGTCCTCTTAGGACGAATGAGAGGAGCTAGCCTAAGATGGCCATGCTTTAATAAGCATCACATCCAGATAGTAACATTCAAATGCATATGAAAGGAATGCCTTTGTTCCCTGTTGTACCTGAAGAAAGCAATCTCAGAATTCCTTCTTCACTCCGTTCTCCCAGTGTTTTCTCACTGGCCAAAGTGACTGCATATGTTCATTTCTAAATCAGCCCCTCTGCAAAGGAAATAGGATCACATGACTGGTGCATAGGCTAATTGAGAGGAACCTTCCAAGGCTAGGGAATGTTCTAGAGTCCTTTAGAGCAAATAACCATCAGTATTCACTAAGCACAGGGAGGAACCACAGTTGATAAGTAGTCAGGATCAAGCACATCTGTTTCCCAAAGTGGATGATACCTTACCCTGGGTGTGTGTGTGGGGGGGGAAGTGACTGGAATGATTCAATGGGGTGCAAATCCAGATACTATATTTTATCCTGGATTATGAGCGGTATAGTAGCTTTTAGTTGTCAAGGGGGCACTGTGGAATTCTGTTCTGAAAAGGGGCTGGTAGGTCAAATAAGGTTGGGATGCTGTAATTCTTTTTTGTTACTGCCCATTTGGTCTCCTACAATAATTGGTTTTTGTCTTACTGTTTGCTTAATCTTTTTCTGTCCATGAAGTTATACTATAGCCACAGCAGCCAATGAGGAAAATTGATTTCAAAAAACTACAAAATATCTTAAGGGTTGCCATGAGTCAGAATTGACGTGATGGCAACTAGTTTTGTTTGGTTTTGGTTTGTGGCTTAAAATTTCATGTTGAAATGTGATTCTTTTCTATGTGATATAGTCTTGTTGGTGCATTGCTCTTGTTCCCCTTCTATAACTGTAGCATTTGTCTTGTTTATTGGTTATCCACTACAATAGTACTCATTCCCCATCACTGACATCTCCCTCTAAGATCCACATCCAACGGCAGCTCACTTTTCATTCCAGGATCTTTAATTACATATTTTACGTATCCACGTCTCCTTGCCCATGAGGTCCAGAGGACATTTCTGTATCAAGTCACTTGGTGCTCATCAGGAGTAATGGTGACTACAGATATTAAGAAGGATCAGAGGAAATAAACTGATCAGCAAAGAGGATTTCTAACAATTTGGTGACTGAAACAGAAAGGGGAAATGGAGGCAGGAAAGAGAAACTGGGAGACTTGGAGTTACCTGCCAGGGACAATGACAATTGTTTCTACCTTATTCAGGCAAAGACCATTGAAGCTAGGTTAGAAGATGTTACACTTGCTGAGGTGGTCCCACAGAACATTGGACAGGCTCTGTTGCCTAGGTGTGTTAACTTGCAAGTGGTGTTGATTCAGACTCACTGTACTATAAAAATTGTGTAATGGCTGTTCACATTATTTGTACAAGAAGTGAAGCATCAGTAGAATAATATGGGAGTTCAAAGATGATAGTAATTCATTGATTCAAAAAAATCAATTATTTAGTTACAGTTATGTAACCAATTAAATTCTAGCTTTTCCTACATCAGGAACCAGAGCCTGCCAATACAGAACTGTTGCTTAGTTTAACAGTGTGTTCCAGTCGATGGGGTTTCATCATGGCAATCCATTGATGATATTTAAAGTCTTACTTCATTTAAATGGCATTCTTACATCATTTAAATGGAAGTCCTTGACTGTAACCTCCTTTTTTGTCTTCTGTTTTTTAACACATCCCTTAAAGAGATTTAAGAATTTAGTTTTGAAATCTCACACCTTTCTTACCCTTGAATAAGAGTTAAATCTTTTAAAACTTACAGTTCTGAAATATTTTCAGTAATGTCATTTTTGTCATCCACAAGTAAAATATGCACATTCTCTCCATGGAAGACACTAAATATGCAGATAGAGCAGACTTAGGTATCACTCATCTCGATTTTTTTCTAGTGCCACATATTCTGGTAATTTAGATTTGTGTGTGTCTGGTGGAGGCAGAAATTGAGTCTGTGGAGTCAAGATGCCATGGTTAAAACTTTTTTTTAATGTTCTTTTAAAATCTAAATTTAAAATTTTGATTTACAGTCCAATTTCTCCGCCTCAAATTAGAATAAAACCAATCTTGAGTTTCTGAAGGGAGTACTAAAATCAGAAGACTTAAAATGTTGTCTCTTGGAAACATGTATTTTAATTTTCCTGTTCTTTTTCTAGTCTCTTTTTCTCTACGCAAAGTACTTGTGTTAGTCTGGGAACTTTAGAGAAACAAATCCACAGAAACTCATGAATAAGAGAATTTTATATAAAGGTTAAGTGCACATCAAGAAAACATCCCAGCCTAGTGCTACCAAAATCCACAAGTCCAACATTAACCCACATGTCCAACACCAATCCACAAAGTCCTCCTCCATCTCACAAAACAGACGCAATGACACCGACTGCAGGAGGAAAGCTGAGTCAGTGAGTGTGTAAGCATCTCAGTGCTGGCAGGGTCTCCACACAGGTGCTTCAGCACCCAGGGCTGCATCGGGGTAGGTCCATGCCGCTTCTCTTCAGGGATGTCTTGCAGGAAGTGAGCCTTGTCAGCTGAAGCAGGGAACTGGCTGAGGCAGCTGCACCCTTGTCCGACCATCAGAAAGCAAGAGACCTGAGAAATCCAAAGGCGAGGCTCACCGAGCCATTTATCCCTCCACCCTTCAATTAATCCCACATATGTTCATCTGCCAGGTTGGCACAATAAACTACCTATCTCAGTACTGAACACTTGCTAACCTTTAGAAGATAGTCTTGAATGTTAACTCTAAAGATAGCGTATACATGAATACTGTGTGTTGAGGATTTTATATATATAGTGAGAGCCAAGAATTATATATAGTGAGGAACAGTAGCCTCAGAAAGAGTGAATGAAGCATTTAAGGGTCTAGATGGAGGAGAGACAGATGAAGACAAGAGTTTACTTGGCCACATCAGAGCTAGAGAAACACTGAGTGGGTGGAAAGAGACAGAAAAGGCATATGGCTAGCTCAGGGACCCACACTGCAGGGCAGGCAAACATAAAGCAGACTCCAAAGGGGAAGAGAAGGAAGGGCAGTGGTGGGTGGGGTTTGTAAGAGGTGATCATAAGGCATCATTGATGAACGAGAAAGACAGTGAATGCTGAGGACGACCTAAATTCAAGAAGCCAGCCTCCGCCAGGCTATGCAGGGTCAGATCCCAGGGAAGGCGGTGGCACAGCTCCATAGAAGACAACATGGGAAAAAAAACAAACAAACAAAAAAGAAGACAACATGGGACAGGAAGTAAAAAGCAACTCACTGGGCTCAGATATGGGTTAGATTGAGAAAAAAAAGAGGAAATGGTGCAGGAACCGAGTGCAGAAGGAAAGAGAAGAGAAAGAGAAAGGTATTGGCAGTTGTAACGAGACTTTAAAATAGAGCAAGGCAAATAGTGTTCGCAAAGAGAGAGAGATGCCTCGGAGGTCTAGACGCCAAGTGGGAGAGCAGGTAGCTAGTAGAGTGGCTGCAGGTAGACAAGCACTGAGGCGGGTAAAGAAGTGATTGAGATATGGAACAAGTAGAAAGAACAGACACTGCAAGGAAAGACTGTGGGAGAAAGTGGTTTACAAAGTGGCAGTGGGGACAGCCAGAGCAAAAAAAAAAAAGACAGCAGTAACTGGTAGGCATGGATTAAATGATGGGATTAGCATGGATTGAACAACTAGTAGTGGTTCTCAACCTGGGTCTCACGACCCCTCCTTGGGGGGCGAATGACCCTTTCACTGAGGTTGCCCAAGACCATCGGAAAACACTTATTTGTGGTGGTCTTAGCAACCGAGACACGGTTCCTCTGTCCATCTCCAGGCAGATCTGGCCCACATGCAGATACGCTGATCTGGTGAGAAAGAAGTTATCTCAACCTTCGTTAGCTTTTTATGTATACTGTTGCAAAATGTAGCAATGTAGCTTACTGTTGTTATATTAAGACTGTTACCCATGCTACACCATGCTTTGAGACAAAATTTTATTTATTTGTAATTAGAAATAAATATTTCACAATATATAAGTACATATTGTTTTTGTGATTAATCACTTTGCTTTAATTATGTTCTGTTGGCAACAATGAAAATACATCCTGCATATCAGATATTTACATGATGATTCATAACAGTAGCACAATTAAAGTTCTGAAGTAGCAACGAGAATAATTTTATGGTTGGGGTCACCACCACTTGAGGAACCGTATTAAAGGGCCGCAGCATGGGGAAGGTTGCGAACCACTGCACTAGAGCGAGCATGCTGTGTGATAAGGAAAACACAGTTGGGCCGGAGGAAGGATGTGGGTGATTCCAAGGATCCCTTCAGAGGTGCTTAAAAGCAGGGAGAGAGGTCACGGGCTACTCAAATATACAACTAGGTGTGCCTCAGAGAAACCTCACCAAAGCCATGAGACCAAACAGCCAAGTAGGTGATGTGACATGGGTCCAGGACACACTGGCGAGTGATGGCATAAGCAGAAATGAAGTGAGGTCAAAGAGAAGCAAAAAAATAGTAAATGGTTTATGAGAGAGAGAAGTGGTATAGCGCATACATGCAAATAAGAGCTATTGATTGAGCTCAAAATGAGACAGGAGACAGAAGAATGGAAAGACAGCTGTACCAAGATTGTTGAGCTGCTGGGGCAGACAACCATAGTCTTGCTATATCAGTGCCCTATATGCTCTATTAAGATATTATTCCCGCAAACCTGTGATTATTATTATTGTAATGGTTCATGACAATTAGCCTCCAATGTGCAAATAGCATCCAGCCACAAAAGGTTGATTCTGTAAAAGCGAATAATTCAGGTACTGTGATAGCGATTTAACCTATATTGGCCCAATTTCTCTCTGTCAACAGGACTTTAAAAAATTAGTACCAGGGCCAATCAAAGACAATATTATCAGAAGATCATTATGCCCCAGGGAGGATGATTGTTGAGACACTCTCTCTCTACCGTAAATTAACAAGGAAGTTTTGTAAGGGAGCCAAAGGCAGACAAAAAGACAAGCAAAACAAAATGTCGATCCAGGAATGGGCTTTGGGCTTGCGCTAAATTCTAGCTCCAACTTAAGAACAATTAGTTCTTGCATTGTAGCCCTGCTCTATACTCGCCCTCAGGAAAGGAACACAGAAGATCTGCGTGCTATAGCAAAATGTGACAAAGAAATTAGATGGTGCCAACTATCAGATAAAAGTGTCTGGGGTCTCAAAAAACGTGTCTTCAAATACAGCCTTCTGAGTGAGATGTCAACCATGCCCACATGGAAGAAGCACACCATCATCAGTCACCCAAGGACTAAACCATATAATCCAAAGTAGAAGGAGGGATTAGTGTCAGAGCCTATATTGTGAGAAGGCAGGAGGCAGTGGATGACGGGGGGAGCCCAAGATTCATTTGTGGAACTACATGGGAAATAAGCCTCCAGAGAACTCCCCCCACTTAAGATTGAGGGATGGGAGGAAGGTGGTCACTAAACAGTGCGTTGAAGAGATGAGCATAGAAGATCAAAGGGGTAAAACTGACTTCACAGTTAAAACTTTGCCAGTGGATTCTCCCCTCTGATGCACCCTGGACCTGATCTGGTTTTCAACATTTTCTGTGTTTTTGTTTTTGTTTGTTTTCTTCATATTAGGGTGCATCTCAGAGGTGTTATATCATTGGGGGTCACCCTCTTGAAGGTGTCAAAGTTGATACAGAAAGCTTAAGTAGTGGGCAGGAAAAGACAATGCATGAGCTCAGACAGACAGTAGATCCAGGTAGGTTCAAAAGACTCTGGAACTGATGGAGACCTAGGCAAGGAAATAAGGGAGCAGCAGAAAGACTGCCACCTTGCTTCGGCTCCTTGAAATGGGGAGCTGTAAGTGACCAGAGAAGAAGAAGGGGTGGCCAGATATAGGTCAGCCTACCAGAGAAAGAAGAGGTAAAAAGGAAAAGCAAAACAGGCCAAGAAACACTGAGAGAAATAATGATTGGAGATGAATACAGAGATTATCCAAAATGGCAGAGATGATGAGAAAGAAGAGGCTGATATTATGGTCGAGAGGATATGCCATATTAGGTAACTGATAGGAGAAGAACATTAAATTGAGGACTGGTTTTGTAGAATACTTTTCTAGCCTCTTCCATGATCAACCTTATAAAATAAAGGGCACACTGAGCCACTTAGAATTATTCTGAATCAAACTGAGATAATTTTATATATATAGCTTGTTTTTATCATGTTTAAACATAGAGTTACCATGAAACCCAACAGTTTTACTTCTAAGTATATCCTAAACCAAACCTGTTTCCAGAGTCAATTCTGACTCACAGTGGCCCCACAGGGCAAGGTAAAACTGGCCCTGTGGGTTTCCAAGGCTGAAAATCTTTATAGGAACAGAAAACCTTATCTTTCTGTCAAGGATCAACTGGTGGGTTCGAACTGCTGACCTTGCAGTGGCAGCCCTGTGCATAAGCCACTATGCCACCAGGTCCCCTAAGATAAATGAAAACAGTTGTCCATATAGATACTTGTACCTCAATGTTTATAGTAGTAGCTTCCTTCATAGAAGCAAAAAGATAGAAATAGCTCAAATTGTGGAGTGAATAAACAGAAAGTGGTATGTCCATTCAATTGAATATTATTTATCCATTAAAGGGAATGAATACTGATGCATGGTACAACAGAGATAAACCTTGAACATTATGTTAAGTGAAATAATCTGGTCACTAAAGACTAGATATTATTTCATCCTATTTATATAAAATGTCCAGAATTGACAGGCCTATATATAAAGTAGATTAATGGTTCCGTTTCCTTAAAAGGTGATATTTTAAGACTTGTCTGTGGTAAAGATTGTACATCTTTGAATATACTAAAACTCACTACCATCGAGTTGATTCCAACTCACAGTGACCCTATAGGGTAGACTAGAACTGTCCCTGTGGGTTTCTGAGACTGTTAACTCTTTACAGAAGTGGAAAGCCTCATTTTTTTCCTGCTATTGGTTCTGAACTGCCAACCTTGTGGTTAACAGCCTAATGCTTAACAACTACCCCATCAGAGCTTTTTTTTTGATGGTTATGTGGATTATATCTTTATGTGGTTTCACCTTAAAACTAAACACAAATAAAATATGTTGATTTATTTTTAAAACAAACTACTCAGGAAAGATGTTGCTGTGAGATATTTTTGCTGGTGGCTTAGTGGGTTACAGGATGGGCTGCTAACCATTCCAGCCCACCAACTTCTCTGCTGGAGAAAGACAGGGCTCTCTCCTCCTGTAAAGCTCTACAGCTTCAGAACCCCAAAAGGGCAGTTCTAGTTAGTCTTTAGGGTCGCTATGACTCAGAATTTCTCGACAACAGTAGATTTTGAATGTCATTAAATGGATTTTATCTCACTATTACTCCTTCCCTTCCTAAGTAAATTTACTGAAACATTTGACTCTTTCATATGTAATCTGTATATATAATTATTGTATTTGTAACTGAGATTCTCTATAGATGTATCAATTATATGTATATATATATATATAATCAATCAACTTTCACCCTGGGGGTAAAAGAAGTTTGTAGAAATTGTGAAGGTAGGTAAGTGTACATGATTTCGAGGTAGCATTTGTTTGCATTACTTAGTGACCACTTACTCGACTCTGCCTGTCCTCTTGTAATCTTTATATAGCAAAGACCGAGCAGCAGCTACAGCTGGAGCTGCTGGCGCAGCTGGGTACCACCGAGAAGCATGGGCCACCAAAGGCCCCTCCTATGAAGACTTATACACTCAGAATGTTGTCATTAACATGGATGACCAAGAAGATATTCATCGAGCCACCCTGGAAGGGAAATCTGCTAAAGAGAGACCCATTTGGTTGAGAGAGAGCACTGTCCAAGGAGCATACAGTTCTGAAGACAGGAACGACGGTAAGAGTACAAAATTAAGTAAAGTGGATGTGTTTTGTTTCACTTGCAGATGAACTTGATTTACAAGGAAATGATCTGGGCAGTTCTGAAATACAGGCCGTCCCCAGGTTTGAAATGTCTGACTTAGGGACCACTCCTCCCTGCTCTTGAATGTTCTGTATATTTGCCCTCTTAGAAGTGAACCAGCCCCTACCAGCAACAAATTCTTCATGTTGCAGCTTTTAACTCATCCAAAAGACTCTGAACCGTCGCATGCACTAAACCCTGGGTTCCCAAACTTGACTGACTTGTATTGGAATCACCTGTAGCAAAATTACAATTATGAAGTAGCAACGAAAATAGTGTAATGGTTGGGGGGGGCACCACAACATGAGGAGCTGTATGAAAGGGTCGCAGCATGAGGAAGGTTGAGAACCACTGCCCTAGAGATTCTGCTTCATTAGGTTGCAGGTGGAGTCCAGAAATCTGTATTTTCAGCAGATCCCCAGGTGAATCCAATGACCAGCTAAGTTTGGACCCTAGGCCCTGAATAAGAAACATGTGCACCTATTCCGACTTATCTACAAATTCTTAAAGACACACATAGAGCTCATTCAAAGCTCAGGCACTGCATGTAGTTTTATTGAGAACCCGTTGTATCTTTTTTACAAAACAATTGCATTATAATAGGAAGTAAGAAGTAAAACAATAAGCATTAAAATCAATTAGTATACTTATATTGTCCTTGAACTTAGTTGAAATAACGAATAGACAGCTTTTGAAATCTCTGTTTTAGATCTGAAAAATTGCCATATTTTTATTTCTATGAAGTAAGAAAAATAATGCTGTTATGTACAAGGTGGCCAAATTCACCTCTTCTTTCATCTTGTGTGGCCCTAAATGTCTATGCTTTATCTCCCCCTGTATTAAAACTAGAACTGTGCACTAGTGTGAGCGTTCTTGTTACCTCATAGAATTACAAAGGAATTCCTCAAATATGTAAGAAGATAGCACAATGATGACAGAGCTGGCCTTGTTCTGTTTAAGAAAACTCTAAGACCAAGCAAACTCACAGTGATTAAGTTGATTCTGACACATAGAGAACCCTATATAACAGTAGGACTGCCCCTCTGGGTTTCTGAGATGCTAACGCCACTGCAGTAGAAAGCTTCATCCTTTATTTTTTGCTGAGAGTGTAGTGGTTTTGAACTGCTGACCTTGTTTTAGCAGCCAAATGCCTAACCCAGACTGGCAGACTTTTCTTCTAGGAATTTTTGGAAACTTCTCTGTGCATTAAAGGGTTAAGATTTGCATCAGTTTTCAGGAATTGGAAGACTAGGCTTTACTTCTTTAATTTTAACGTAAATTGTTGTGGATTCAAAGGCTGTGAATTTTGAAGTATAGGAAATGCGAGGCTATGACTGAGCAACTGGAAGGAAGCAGAGGTGGAAGTGGGTCTCCATACCTCTGCTAGCTCTTTCCAGGTTAAAAGGCTGTGTGCCCTTATTCCCAGGCGAAAGAATCATCAGTAACTGAAAACCACTATTCAGATTTTTGCCCTATCTTATAACATTTTCCCCTTCATACTTGACATTTCTTTATAGAACCTATTAAATTCAAGAAAATAACTGCCATCAAGTCAATTCTGACTCTTTATGATCTTACCGAACAGAGTAGAACTGCCCCTGTGGATTTCCAAGACTATAACTCTTTACGAGAGTAGAAAGCCTCCTCTTTATCTCACAGAGCAGCTGGTGGTTTCGAACTGCCAACCTTGAGATTAGTAGCCCAACACATAACCTCTACGCCATCAGTGCTCCCCCACAGGACATATTAAGCTTTGTCAAAGTGGGGTGGCATTGTGGGGGGGTGAGAATAAATGCAGATGATACCTGTAATGTGATTTTCTTTGACATTTTCATCTCAATCAACAACAACAAACTGTTCTTTGGCAATCATATGCCCATTTCCATTCTGCCCTCTGATTAGCCCTGGTGATGCAGTGTTTAAGTGTTTGACTGCTGAGAAATTGCTAGTTTGAGCCTACCAACTACTCCATGGGAGAATGATGTGGCCCTTGGCTGCCAGAAAGATTACAGCTTTGGAAACTGAACAGGGCAGTTGTATTCTGTGCTATAGGGCGCTGTGAGTTGGAATTGACTTCGTGGCAGTGGACCTGGGTTTTGATTGGTTGATTGATTTAAATGTGTAGTTACCTTCATTCAAATCATGCTAGATTATATAGTAGTTAGTCTGTACAACTATTTAACAGGTTTGCTTTTCCCACCTTTTTTTCCTTCCAACACAGGCTTCTTGCCTTTCTTGAAGCCTCCATGCTTTCTTCTCTTTGAACCTAGTAACATAATATAATAAAATAAAACTATTGTTAAGTAGTATTACATACATACAGGCTCAAAGACACTGAATGCTTATAATTTCTATAATCATAGAATTTGAATCAAGGGTCTAAAATCATCTGGTCTACCTAGGAATTAACTTTTGCAAATATTTCCTTACAGTGTGACATTTAAATTTGCTCTTCTTTATTGTTCATGGTCGTAGAACATCGTCTAGCTAGTGAATATGTATGTCTTTAAGAATTTTACAACTTCAATCATGTCTACTTTATTTCAATCATGTCTAATTCATTTTGATTTTACTTTCCCCTTCTGCCTAAGTTTTCTTTAGCCACAGTTTTTGTTTTATTTGCCTTTTTGTACACCATCTCTAATTGTAATGTACTTGAGACCCAGTGGCCAGAGCATTACAAGCATGACTTTGCTAGTAGTAATGAGTTTTTTCTCAAATTCTTCCTGTTAGCTAATTGCTTTGGTTCTGAAAACCCAGAGACCAACAACTTTAGAAACATGTGCGGGAACTTTTAGAACTTTTTTCTTGATCTGAAGCTAATAGTTTGAGCCATGTCTTTTAAGCATATTTTATGTTATTTTTCTGTAGGAAGATTTTTCTTACTCTTGTTAGTATAGAAAGTAGATCTGCAACTTTCCTTCCCACATACACAACCTTCAGCCTTTCTATATTTTGCTGTCGGCGTGACATTTAAGTACCCAGGGATCACTTATCATCATCAGTAACCTGACAATTTCACAGAATACATCTTCTTAGTAATTTTTTGCACTATAAAATGAGACCGTTTCTAGCACAACTGTTTCTTTTTTCCCCCATCTCATTTATCCTTTTTCATTCCCCCCCCTGTATCTCTAACAAGCTAATTTCTTTTCCTTCCCAAATCTCTGAAGCACCATGTCAAAAATCTTATACAATGATTTCATCTAATTTATAAAACATTCACTTTTCCCCCAATTTTATATTTACTTTAAAAATATACCAATATACTATGTTGGTAATATTAAGCTGTTTGAAACCTTCAATCACAAGCAATGATTATGTTGGTGTCTCACATACATTCTCTGTTTGTATGTGCATGTGTGTGTATAATGTTGCTTTTCTGTTGAAACAATTGGTTTGGCTTTGGGGAGGGGTTTTAGCCTGTAGCAGTGCTTTGAGATAGGACAATTTGATTTTAATTTGATAGCCATGTTATCAAAAACCTATTTTGGACTGGAACATTTAACTTCTCAATTCCTATTCCCTTTCTCTTCCCCACCTGCCCAATATCATATCTCATCTTGGGAGAGCTGTACTTTCCAAAAAGTCCAGGGTTACAGCTAATCCATGTGAATGTGCTAATGCGAAGGCTCCTTCGCTTCATTTGTGGCCAGCCAGGACTTTTCCTTCTCAGCCTTCTCTTTTTTTTAATTAAATACTTTTATTGGGGGCTCCAATCCATACATTCATCCATTCTGTCAAACACATTTATACATGTGTTGCCTCATCATTTTCGAAGCATTTACTTTCTACATGAGCTCTTGGTATCAGCTTCTCATGTTTTTCCCTCCCTCATGAACCCTTGATAAGTTATAGATTCTTATTTTCACATCTTACATCGTCCTCTGTTGCCCTTCACCCACTTTTCTGATGTTCATCCCCCTTGGAGGGGGTTATATGTTGATCCTTGTGATTGATTCCCCTTATCTCCCCCCACTTTCCCAGTATCCTCTTGGTATCTCTTTTCTTATTGTTGGCCCTGAAAGGTTTATCTATCCTGTATTCCCTGTATTGCTGGCTCTTATCTGTAGCAGTGTGCATGTTCTGGTCTAATCCGATTTGTAAGGTGGAATTGAGGTGGTGGTGGGGTGGGGGGTGGGGGAAGGAAGCATTAAAGAACTAGAGGAAAGTTGTGTGTTTCATTGGTGCTATGCTGCAACCTGACTGGGTCATCTCTTCCTTGTGACCTTTCTTGAGGGCATGTCCAATTGTCTACAGATGGGCTTTGGGTCTCCACTCCTTGTCTCCCCTCCAGCCCCCATTCACATTGGTATAATTTTGTTCCGGGTCTTAGATACCTGATACCTTATCCCATTGACACCTCATGATCACACAGGCTGGTGTGCTTCTTCCGTGTGGGCTTTGTTGCTTCTCAGCTAGATGGCCGTTTGTTTACCTTCAAGCCTTTAGACCCCAGACTGCTGTATCTTTTGATTGCCGGGCACCATCAGCTTTCTTCACCACATTTGTTTATGGCACTCATTTTGTCTTCATTGATCATGTCAGGAAGGTGAGCATCACAGAATGCCGGATTATTAAGACAAGGTGTTCTTGTGTTGAGGGAGTGCCTGAGTCAAGACCCAATGTCCATCTGCTACCTTAATTCTTGTTGTTGTTGTTTTAAATCATTTTATTGGGGACTCGTAGAACTCATCACAATCCATACATATGCCATTGTGTCAAGCACATTTGTACATGTGTTGCTATCATCATTCTCAAAATATTTGCTTTCTACTTGAGCCCTTGGTATCAGCTCCTTATTTTTTCCCTTCCCTTCCCTCCCCGCTCTCCTCTCCTTCTGAACCCTTGATCATTTATGAATTATTATTTTTGTCATATCTTACACTGCCCGATGTCTCCCTTCACGAACCACTTTTCTGTTGTCCGTCCCCCAGGGAGGAGGTTATATGTAGATTCTTGTAATCGGTTCCCCTTTTCTGCCCTACCTTCCCTCCCGGTATCACCACTCTCAGCAGTGGGCCTGAAGGGATCATCTCTCCTGGATTCCTTGTGTTTCCAGTTCCTATCTGTACCAGTGCTACCTTAATTCTTTTTTTAAAAAATAATTTTATTGGGGGCTCACACAACTCTTAATCACAATCCATATATACATCAATTGTGTCAAGCACATTTGTACATTTGTTGCCCTCGTCATTCTCAAAATCATTTTTTTAAATCACCTTGTTTTTACCCATCACAATATTAGTCACTATCACAATAATTTTATTAAATAAATGTCATTAGATTTATCCATTTCATTGCTGTTTTTAAATTTTTTTTATTTAAAAAAAAATTTTTAGCTACCTTAATTCTTAACATATACTTATAAGTATATAGTTCTAATTCCTTCTTGTTATATGTAAATATATTTACATATGTACATGTAAATGTATTTTATAAATTTATAAACAGACCTCTATAAATGTCCTTGGCTTCCTGGTTCTTTTCTCTATTTCCTTTTACTTTCCTACAGTCCCACCATCGTGTTCGGCCTTCTTTCGGGTTTAGTAATACCTCGCTGTTACATTGCCCTTGATTAAGCACCACTAGGCATCCTGTGCCCTTCTCTCCATTGATTTAGTTCACTAGTTGTTCCCTTGTTGAGCCCTCTCTAGATGATGGTAGATGGCACTATTGTAACTGCCTAGCATTTCACACATATTGACATAATCTCTACAGAACCCAGAGAGGTAGCATCCTCCCCGCCCCTTCCCCCTTTTCTTTTGCATTTGAGAAAATTGAAGCAGAAAGAACCAAAACAACTTAGCCAAAACTACATAACTCATAAATGTTTGAGTGTCAGGATTTGAATCAGGGGGTCTGATTCCAATGAATAGTTTTAACCTTTATGTATATTTTATATTTCATTTATTTATTTTAATCATTTTATTGGGGGCTCTTATAGCTCTTATAACATTCCATATATCAATCGTATCAAGCATATTTGTACATATGTTTTTATCATCATTTTCTAAACATTTACTTTCTATTTGAGCCCTTGGTATCAGTTCCTCTTTTTTCCCTCCCTCCCCCTCTCCACCCTTGTGGTCCCCTGATAAATTATAAATTGTTATCGTTTTCATATCTTACACCGACTGCTGTCTGTCTTCATCCATGTTTCTGTTCGTCCCCCTGGAGTGGTGATGGGTTATGCATCAATCATTGAGATCAGTTTATGTGTATTTTAATGGTCATAGTATGTCTACTAATATTATCAGAAAGCAAAATACAAATCTCAAAGGTTTCTTCTATAATTCGAGGGGCTTCTGAAAGTTTGTGGGAAAATTCCATTCTCGTGTAATTCCATTTCCCATGAACTTTTTGAAGCCCCCTCATATATCAGACGAGATGTGAGCCCAGCGTGGAAGGAGGTGTGTGGTGAGCGGAGCGTCCTTCCTGGTGTTAGATTGTGATTTACAGAGTTCAGAGTATGCTTCCTTCCCCCGGAACAATAAAACTACCATTTATCACTCATTCACTGAGTTATAGGAATGCTGCTTGCATTCACTTTTTGGACACACACACCCTCCTCCACCCCCCCACCCCACCCGCTGCCGCCAGACCCACCTCTGGAGCACTAGGATGGCCACCTGGCAGACACTAGTCTAGTGGGATATATCAAGGACTATATCCCATGGGGTATATCAAGGAATAAAGAGACAACACCTATCATCATAGAACCTCCTTTCTGGGAAAGGGGACGACAAACAGAAGGCATTTGTTGTTACTTATAATGCTGGAAAGAAGGGAAAAGTGGAGGTGAATAAGGAGGGTGGGTAATAGAGGAGTGGGAGTGACATTTGAGCAAAGACATAAAAGATAAGAGGGGGCTAGCTTTATGGTTGCCTAGAGAAAGAAATATTCCAGAGAGGGAATAGGCATGGAAAGGCCTGATTGGTATAAAAGTACCAGAAAGGGGCTGGAGCAGAATGAGGAAGAAGAGGCAAATGGCAGAGGGTGAGGGCGTGGGGGTTTTCAGATGGTGAAGACCCATGTAGTCCATTGCAAGGCTTTTGGCTTTTATCTGCACAAGAGGAGAGGTTTTGATTTTGATTTCCTGTTTGGTTAGCTCCCATAGGCAGCGTATGATAAGCATCATTCATTGTGTTGTTATCCAAAGTCCTAAAAAGGGAGCTCTTTTTATAGAGAGGGATACTACAGTTTCAAGTCGACATAATTTGCCAAGGTGGTTTAGATTGCAAGTGGAAGAACTTGTATTCAAATCTGGGCTTTATTACTATTACAAAATATCCATGTTCCCAATCATTATGCTACTTGAGGTCAATGCATAGCAAAGATTTTAAAGCCCGAGTCGACCACGGTAATTTTATATGACAGCTAGAGCAAAGCCCTTTATATCTGGGGAGATTAACGTTCTGATTCTCCCCTGCCCCGGCCCCCCTCCAGGTGGCATAGACATCGACGCGTTTCAGGATCGTGCAGACGGCCGCTTGGGGCCAGATGATAATGAAGAAGTCATGCGCGCGCTGCTCATTCACGAGAAGAAGACCCCCTCCGCCGCGGCTGGGTCCGTGGGGGCGGCTGCTCCTGTGACCACCGCCAACGGAAGCGACTCGGAGAGCGAGACCAGTGAGTCCGAGGACGAGTCTCCGGCACGACCGGCCGCGGTGGCCGTGCACTGCAGGGACGAGGATGACGAGGACGATGAGTTTGAAGAGGTGGCAGATGACCCCACTGTCACAGTGGCTGGCCGGCCATTCTCGTACAGTGAAGTGAGCCAACGGCCAGAGCTGGTGGCCCAGATGACGCCCGAGGAGAAGGAAGCCTACATAGCCATGGGACAGCGCATGTTTGAAGACCTGTTTGAGTGAGCTTTTCTGGCCCCGCCCTCCTTTCTCTAATGCGCTTTTCAAAAAGAAATTCCCCACCAGGAAGGGAAATGTTAACGTGGCTTCTTCTCTTCTTGATGTAAAGTAAATGTCCCCTGACCTTGTGCAAAAATAATAAAGGCAGAGAAAGTTTTTTTTAATACCAGACATTCCCCAAGATACGCTGACTTGACAAAGCACACCTTCCTTGGTTTCTCTGGTGTGCTGTTTCCTGTGTTTTTATACCTGATGGTTTTCCTTTGCTTGTGTGATGTGTTGCCCTTTCTGAGACTCATAGAGGGAAGTCACTATGGTGAATTATTCCTGTCTGCAGAAGTCTCCAATAGGTTACAGTCAATGTGTGTTTTGTTTGTAATCTTTTTTATTGGTTTTACCAAGCATTCCTGCTATTGATGCCTATCCAAGCAGCTTGCCAATGGGCAAATCTTTGATAAGGGGAAAATAGCACTTCATAGTCCTCCATAATCGACAATGGAGCCAGTATGCCTGGGGTGTTGGGGGAGGGGGGCGGAAATATGTGCAGAGAGGGGTGGGTGTGCCTGAATGTCAAGTATATCAAACCAGAAGTTTTTGTCTTTAGAACTGATCCCAGCAGTAGAGTCTAGTGTTTCCCTTAATGCCTTGGTTTGGTGTAGGGTGATAGCAAACAAAGTGTGCTCATGAGGAAATTGGGAAAAACACTTGGATTTCAGCCCAAAGGAGTCCATGGAAAGGGGTGAAGCAAGGAGAGACTTGGGAATGATGCCTTTGGAGTTGCCCGAGAGTGTGATGGGAATCCCTTATATACAGCTGAGATTGGACTCCCCCGGGCCCCCTTCTTCTACAGAACTCTTGCCAGTACTGTAACTCGTTTAATGAAGCTGTTCTAGAAATTGACATAGAATAATTGGGTACTCCCCTTTTTCTCTCTCTCTCTCTAAGCATCATTGGAAGCTTTCGCAAGGTCTCTCTTTAGATGCTCATCAGACGCTAAGAACACATCCAGTGTATTGTTGAGCATTGTAACTTCAAGGAACGTAGTTTATTTGGGGGGTTCTGATAATGTAGTATGGTGTTAGTCCCTAAGGTAGGACTTACACCTTTCTATAACAATTGTATTTTTTTTTAACAATTGTATTTCTTGTAATATTTGCCCTTGAATTGTAATTTTTAAGTATTTATCATTTTATAGTACAAGTGTGACGTTAACATAACATTTTAGAATAACTGAGCCTTGTATGAATTGCTGTTTTGTTTACCTGGGCTGTATTAATGACTGAATATTGACAATAAGCCTATTTTATGCTAATTGAAATTTGTTCATTTCTAAGCTCGGTTACATCTTGAAGCACAATTAAAATGAATACTTTTCCCATTTAAAAATTGTTTCAGACTTGTTTCTTGTACTGGTCATATTATTTAAGTTAGTAGAAGCAATTTACATGGTTTAAACTTTTGAATTTTCACAATTCTAGAGAGAAGTTCTATTTAAATAAAGTGAGATATTGATAACATGTTCATTTAAAGAATGTCGTCGTAAGTAAACCCTAGAGGTACTTTCTCTGAGTAAATGTTTCTGATTTTTTCCTTAAACCTTATTTTGCACTTTCTGCTTCCTAAAGCTACTGTTCTATTTACTTAGCAGCGTTTTAGAGACTCGTGTATATTAGATCCGTGTGTCTGTGAACTCCTGTTAGTACACTGACAGACCCAGCTTTCTCCAGACCTCACTGTTCTGCCTAACTGCCCTTTATTCTTCTTTCTCGTTGGCCTCTCTCTGGTATTTGATGCCATCACCCACCCTTTTCCCTTGAGGCTTTTTTGTGCCGTATCCTAGCGGTCCTGGTTCTCTGCTACCTTATTATTGGCTCATCCTGCTCATTCTCGTTCAGACTTTATTGCCTCCTCTCATGTGTGTTGGGGCCTTGTTAAGGGCTTAAGGCTTATTTTTGTTTGTTTTCCTGTGGAATTTTTGCGATGAGAATATGTCACTAGTGAAGACAGAGTATAAATAAGGCTATACATTATAGCTATGTTTGGAAAAAAAACAAAACCAGATACATGTGTAGTTGTACTGACTGTGCAGTAATCAGGAATTAATTCAACAATTTCCCCATGAAATGATATAGCCAAAGGGTTGTTTCCTACCTCTGTGGGCATGTGTAGGTAGGCGTATGTGAGTCAAGAAAGTGTAGCTAACACCTAGTGCTTACTATGAGCCAGACATTCGTCTCGCAGCGTTATATACTCCTTTATGTTAAACGCATAAGGTAGGTATATGAAGGGGCTTTAAAAAGTGTATGAAAATTGAATTAGAAAATGCTGTAACTTTCCCCTGCACTTTGATGGCCCCTCAAAGATAAGTTGTTAGTGCCATTGAGTCGGTTCAGCTTTGTCCCACAGAACAAAACGCTGCCCGGTCCATGCCATCTTCTCAGTTGCTGTGTTTGGGCCCATTGTTGCAGCTATAAGAGAGCCACATATTCTGTTAATAATTGGGATTGGACATAATAGTGGTCTTAATGTATTATGGAAATATTCCATTTTAGAAAACTAAGTAAATATTCAATGAATTTCATCTAGAAATTACCAGATAAAATGAAATGCACACAAATCCAGTGGTCAAAGCAAACTTTTTTTATGTTGATGCTGGGGTTTTTAGATGTACTGTTTTTTCCCCCTTCTTAATCTTGGGTCCATCATAACTTTAGACAGCTCTGAACTTATACTCAAAATCGATAGGGAAATATAATTTAATATGTAAAATTGGGACATCTTCCTTTTTAATAGCATCTATAAAGTCTGTTTATGATGTTTAAAAGCATCAAGGTCTGTTGAGTCATAACAGATAGGTTTACGTCTCTTGAATGACACAGTAATTACTGAGGAAAGCCAGCCAGCGCCAGAAGGAGCAACAGTGGGAGTCCTGCCCTCCCTTATAGGCTGTGAGGACAACGCAGCCTCCTGTGACACATGCATCTCCCTGCTTTGGGTGAGCTGCCCTCTAATAAGGGATGGTCAGGAATTTGGTTTCTCTGAATAAAGCTGGCTATCTTACTATAACTTTTGTGGATGGAGACTCTTAATTTGCTGTCTCTAGCTCTCTGCTTCTCCATCTCTCTTTTGTACCACCTGTACTCTCTAAAATACACCCTCAACACACTTTCGTAGACGACCTTCGAACCACAGCGTTTAGGGTAGCATCCAGGGCTCAGAGCAGTGGGTACTGGAGAGGGTGTCGGTGAGAGAGGAGTTTTTGTCTCAACAGCGCCTGGTCGAGGAAAACCACCAGGTAGTATGCAGCCATGCTCTTGAGAGGCTCCGAGCCGTTCTCACAGATCATCAGCCCAAATAGAACCTTGCCTCCAAATCTGGCTAAACGTTCAGCTCCTGTTCTCTCACCATCCTTACACTCCAGGGGCCTAGGAGCATTCTAAAGGTAGTAGGGAAAATAGTTTAGTTCTCTGCCTTAGTGTTCCTGCCAAATAGTGTCTTGAAAGCACCTATCGTATAAAAAATGGAGTATCTTCAATATAGTTTCCTTAAAGAGTCATCTCTTCACCTCTACAGGTTAAGCTGTATCTTTAAGAACTATTTTTCCTTTTCTACTGTACTAAAAAATAGCCCTCAATGTCTATTGTACTGCCCCTTCCTGTGACGTGTGATTCTGTAATCATATCCCCCTGAAGTGATATAATGGTTGGTTAGCAATAAAGTCGAAGCTCTCTCTCGAGCCCAGGAAGCTTTCCCCGATTCCCGGGGCCCTCTCTGGCTCTCGGGCCAGGAGAAGCTCCCCTGTTCTCGGTCCCCAAGGCTGCTCCTGCTCTCGTGGCCGGGTTTCCCCCATGAGGACCATTAAGCAGGGCTGAGGTTTGGGATGTGACCCTACCAGGCCTTCGAGAAGCTGGGGATCCCTGCACCCAGGCCTCTGCCATTCTTTGGGTCGTTGTTGGAGTACTGAAAGGGACTGCTAGAATTTGACCTGGAATGTTCTAAGAAATATGGCAAGCTGGGGGTAAGGATGGTGCCGGTCAGACCCTCAAGTGAGACAAGGCCCCTGGAGTCTCTTCTGTGGGGCAGTCTCAAACTGAATGAGTGGCCAACCCATCATCATCCGGTCTGGAGACAAGGCGGAGGATGCTGCTGACGAGGCCCTTTCCCAGGTGGACCATCCGGACATGGTGGTAAATGAGACCCTCCATTGGGATGTCTGGAGAGAGGCTGGAAGGAGTCTGTTGAGATCCATCCCCAAGGGAATGCTGGTGATAATTCCCTCCTGTGTTATGCAGTGGGAGCCCACATACTAGCCCAACCCAGAAGAGTTTCATCCTTAGAGATCCCCTTAATTTTGGACACCAGCAGCTTCATGCACCCCAAGAAGCCCATCCTGCTGAAGCTCACCCCCGGGACGAGGCCTGCAGCCCAGGACTGAAACGCTGGGACTGCGCATCCAGAAAGCTGTGTCCACCCCACTCTGTGCCTGAGAGGGACTGGGAGGCCCAGCTCCCTGGGAGGACGAGTGACCTGTGCTGACCGATATTGCCCAACACCATGCTCAGAGGGTCACAAACCCAACCCCACCTATAAAGAAGCCTGACCCGAATGCTATGGCTCTGTGCTCTTACGAGGATTCCTGGTGGGTAGATGGGTGCGGATGGAAATGAAGGATTTCTCCCAAGCTGTCTCCCCCAAATACACACCAGACTTAGCTGCTTGCGAATGACTATACACTTGGAGGTCATCAGGAGTAGATTAGGGGTCATTTTCCCTAAGAGCTATCAGCCATCTAGAGCAAGCAGACACCACTGTTTATCCCACAACAAGTAGGGCCCACTCCCTTCTGATAAGGATAGTAGTTGCCTGTCTCCTTGTAGGAGACGCCAGAGAGGTCAAGGATGACCAAGGTTAGGCTGCCATCATGAATCTAGGGTCTGCCCATCTCATCACATGTATACCCCTAGACCTTCCCATTCCGATGGGCACACCCCTAGCTCATCTCCTTTATGTTACACTTATGCCTATCATACCTCCCCTTCCTACGATGTGTATGCCGATTGTACTGCCCTTTCCTTTGATGTGTGGTTACCTGTAATCATGCCCCCCTAATGATTAGCAATAAAGGGGGTGCTCTCCTGCTCTCACTCCCGAGGCTCTCTCCTGCTCTCGTGGCTGGGCTCCCCCCACGAGGACCACGAAACAGGGCTGAGGTGAGCAATGCTACCATGACCAAAATAAAAAAAATAGCCCTCATTATACTTTGCTAAAAGCAAGGCCATGAATAAACATCCCTAAGATTTGTGTCTGGTAGAAAACGGCTTCCCAAAATTCTGTGCTTTCATCCTATGTTCTTGAAGTTGAAGATTCTTTTCTATTTTGGAACTCCTTTCCCAAGAACATCTTAGGTAAAATTTAGTTGAATTGATTAAAAGAAAATAGACAATTTGGCATGCTGTGGAAGTCAGGAGACTAGGTTCTGGTCTACAAGGTGGCCCTGTTACCTGATGCAACCTTTCTAGACAAGTTTTTCAATGGTTAAAAAAGAGAGGCTTGTGCTAGGATCACTTAGATTCTCTCCAGCCAAAATCTTTAGGCTTCATTTCAATCTTAAAATTGAATCTAACTAATAATAACCAAAACAACACTAATGTGCTATTGCAGATCAAACCAGGTGGAAGGTATTTTAATTGAGGGGCTAGTGGGTGGACAGTAGGTTTAGGGTTAAAGATGTATGGAGCTACAGCATGAACAATAGCTAATTATGTTTCTTTCCTTACCTCACTACAGTACTTTATTCCTAGTCATCTAAATGAGGGAGAAATAATTGAATATTTCGTAATCTGTTTTGGTACTCACGGAGAGGATTAGACCCTGAATGGGATCATGATACAGAAGAGTGATGTATTTTTCACCAGTTGGCTCTAAGACTAGGTTCCCAGCCTGGACCACAATGAAAAAATATATGTCTTCTCTTGTTCTCTTGATTCGTGGATTTAAAAACCAAAAACAGAAATGACACCCCGAAGTTTTTAGAGTTTTGAAATTGGCCTAATTCCACTTTCTATGCTCTTTAGATCCCTACCGCCTCCCCCCCTCCCCCAAGAGATTTTACACGTGTCATTAGCAGAGCTGTGCTGCTGTCATTTGTCAAAACTCATCGAAACGTCTTTGGATCTGTGGCAGATTTTCAAAAAGAGATTGGCACTATGGTAAATTTACTGTCTGTTCTGTTGACTTTGTATATAAAAGAAACAAAACAAATGGGACAAGTTAATCTTCAAGCATGTAAAACCAATATGAGTTGGAAAGGAGAAGGAATAATGAGATTTTACTTGTTTTGAAAATTAAATAATACTGTGTTTCCTGTGGAAATTTCTACA